TTTTTGGAGATGCCTTAATTGAAAATAAAATAATTTCTCTGCAAAGTTTTTCCACTGAAGATGGTCGGTTATTCAACCAGACGACATGGATCTTAATATTGTAACTTTCTATTGAAGACAGGTCAACCACAAAAAAAAACATTTTCGAGTTAATGTCATTTCAAACATAAAAATAACAGGTGTACATGTGTAATGTTCATAGTAATATGTAGGATGAAAAATGTAGCAATTGAGTATTTAAGTAGAAGACTCAAATATGAAAACGATTTATGGAGATGTTCAATTAAGTGGAAACAGAACTTGTATTTTAATAAGATCATTTTCCAGTTAATTGTTGGGATGAAACTTTGAGGAAAACCAGCAACAGCCACTTAATAAAAATTAATGATTCAAAATATGACAGGATGTCAGAGGCAATTCTTTAAAACCACTCGCTCCCATTTCCTTTAACGTTCTTCTCCCGAACGTTTTTGCAGAGAACTTGTAATCAGCATGGGGGGAGAATACCTTGAATTTGAAAAGTTATGTTTTATGAAAAAAGGAGGCAAATTTCCAGTAGAGGGCGCTATCGAAAATTCAAGCCCCTCTGTAGAGGGAGCTATACTAGTAATTTTAATCTATGTCAACCTGTAGAGGGCGCCATTGCATTTATTGAGCGTTTTTGAAAGTATGGCTTCTTTGCTGATATGGCTTTGAGCTTGGTCAGGCTCGAAAACGTAATAAAAAGATACCAACTTAAACGATTACAGTTTTTAGGTCTGCTAGCCGTTATGTTAAGAGAAATGTGAAGCTGACCAAAGTGTCGCAAACCTTCCTACTTTTTGGCTATTCTTGGAAATATTTGCAATGTACCGATACACTAAAATTTTGTTCAGTATTATAGAGGGCGCTATTTTTCAACGCCATCCTGCGAAATTGATTATCTGTCAATAGAGGGCGCCATTGCCTCTGTCATACGAGGGTGCTATTTACGGCAATGCATAAAATGTTGGTAGAGGGCGCTGTTATTTTGATCAATAGAGGGCGCTATATGTTTGGCAGAAATTCATGCAATGGCGCAATGGGCAAGTAAGCAGTGTAGAACGTGAGCTAAGTCGGGTTTCTGCTGTATCGACAAGAAGCACAGTAAATATCCCGTGTCCACAAAAATAATGTAAGAAGCTTCTTTATATCTGTTGTATTGTTAAGCTTGTGTCCGAAAATTAGGCCTAACGTTAGCAGTGGTACGGTAGGAGTGGTTGATTCAATGTAGGCTAGGTCAACTCGCCCCTTACTGACTCGCTCCTTTGCCAACTTGCCCCCTGACCTACTCGCCCCTTACCATCTATCAACTCACCCCCTGGCCAAGCCGCCCTCAGCCAACTCGCCCCCCGCCAACTCGATCGCCCCCTTGTTACACTTAATTGCCCCTCGGCAAACTTGCCTCCTGACCAAGTCGCCCCCTCAGATGAGAGTCCACGGGTTTGGACCATCCATATTTCCAAACTTAAGTGATAATATGCCTACATTGTAAGTGTCCTGGTGGAAGGTGGGATATTGAAGAAATCACCTTAAAGGGATATGACTATTGAGAATTATTCAACACTTAAAAATGTATCAATGGCCAATACCAGCGGACTCTCCTTTGTGAGGGCGACTTGGTAGTCTTGGTTAGCAGCAAGTTTGCCAGGGGTGAGTTGATGACGGGGCGACTCGGCTGGCGGGTGATTTGTCTGGTGTGGGGGCAAGTCGGCAAAGGGGTGAGATTGTCAGTGGGCGAGTCAGTAAGGGGTGAGTCAGCTAGGGGGCAAGTTGACCTGATTCTGGTAGGTTCTGGGGG